ACAACATCTGATCACATATTAGCCATGTTGCCTTATGTCTCAGAACGTGTGATAGTTAGCTATAGCAACACATTCACAAGATCATTGTCCTTAACGATCGCAAACCAGTTTCTGTATTGTCTGTTTGAGCTGAGATAATTTCTGACTAGCTATCACCGAGCTAAACATTTGACCTTTGCGTAGCTTCCCAGTCTTTGTGAGTTTTACTGTGACAGATGATGTTAGTTGTAGTAGTTGAGGTGTCTCTTATCTTTGAATTGCAAACTTCGAATCTTTTTCATGATTTTATCCAAATTATAATCCTTGAAGTTAAATTGAATAATCTTTTGCTCTGCTGCCCTGATTCTTATTTTATGGCGCCACTCATGTGTTACCAGAAAAGTTTTGCTTTTCTTTCAAAAACAAAATAGTGTCCTAAAATTGGTGAATTTAGTCTTAGTCCAGTCGAGTCATGTAATTCGAGTCCCCCACTTCTGCAGGCCAGTGCAGTAGTTAGTTGACTGTGTTTGATCGGCCTTCAGCTCCAGAGGAAACGTCACATAGGGAACGACATCGTAGCCGTGGTTTTCCAGGAGGAGGCGACCCCCTTCGTGCCAGACATGATCGCCTCCAACTTTTTACACGCCTTCGTCCTAGTGCAGGTGGAGGAGCCTTGTTCGGAGAACACCAGCTATAAGGTGCAGCCGAGTTCCACATCATAGGTGTTTGTGTACAGGATTTTTCCATGACGTAAAATTGAATTTATTCTTTGACAATATGTGATTGACAGGTGTCTGTTACGGCACGAGAGGATGTACCGCCATTTGGCCCACCTCTCCCAAATCCATCTGTTTTTAAGAAGGTGAGAACATGATCATTTTGGTACTAGTTGGTAATTTTATGTGGGGCCGCATGTTTGCCTCAGAGTTCTGAGGAAATATGTGCACCGAATTTAAAAAGGGTACACCGATACTCAGGTACTCCAGCTTCCTCCCACATTCCTCAAGCATGCATGCTGTTGCACGTATGGATAGCGTTAACTGTTATGTCGGCTGTCATTCAGGGTCCAGAGTTTCGGGAGTTTCTGCTCACAAAGCTCATCAATGCCGAGCTGGCCTGTTACAAGAGCATCCGCTTTGCCCGACTGGAGGTAATTCCGTCTTTGCAATATGATCAAATCAATAATTAAAGCAGTATGGTCAGTTTCTTGCATCCGTGGTGTTCCGCGGGGTTTCTTTTCTAAATCCTCACTTGATTTCAATGTTTTGTTGTCTTAGGAGCGGACCAGGGCTGCCCTGCTGGACACCCTCCACGACGAGCTACAGAGGCGCTCTCAGAGAATGCTGGGGTTGACGTCCACTCTTGATGAGGAGGCACGGGCTGAAAATGGACATACCCATGGAGGTTTGCTGGAATCCATCAAGGTAGCTCGAAATGTTGGATTTTTTACCTGTTCTCTTTTAACATTACGCTAAATTTATAATGGGACATATGCTCCAGTAGTAGCCTATACTCTCGTTACAGTCACCAGCTTTATTGAGGCAAGGAACATTTTCATTCGATAAAAAATCTTGCCGCATGCTATCAAATGTCAAACGCCACAAAGCAAAGTTGCTTGAGAAGTCTATCTAGGTTACTGGTCTTTCAATGTTTAACTTCTACATCTGTGTGTTTCAGCGGGCTATGCGAGGGCGAAGTGTCTCCATGGAGACAATGTCAAGGGGTGGCGGGGGGCTCCCCACCAGTTTGAGTGGTGGGGGTTTGGCACATATCAGCGCTGAGGTGAGCACAGGTTGTATTTTCTTTCGTGTTGTGGTGGTTTCTTGAATTGCTGCTTGTTGTATTGAGAATAGCTACGTAAGGATGTGTGTTTAATATGTTTTCCCCAGTGTAATGTAAAATCTCCGGTGAAACGACGATCGGGTCTGTTCCCTCGGTTGTTGAGTATCGACAGTCAAACAGACAAGCACAGCCAGAGAAGGTAACCACCGAGTTTGAAAGTGTTTCCATGCTTAAGCCTACAAAAAATGTCACTGAAGTCTTTCCTGTGTATGCTTTGGTTGAGTCAGTTTCCTCAGTGACCAGAAGAGCTTCGATGGTTGCCAGCCAACGTTGGAGGTGAAGTCAGAGCTGCCATCCAATCCCAGCTCTCCAGAGGCGGGGCAACGAGACAGGTGTGTGTGTATGTTTCCCAACACCAATTAGCAGCATTTTTCCCAAATTTCAAGGGTTCTAAAGTGTTTTAATAATATGCCCGTGACACACTTTTCATCTAATTGCACAAAGGATCAAGAATTAATTTAGCAACTTTGACGCGGCGACCCTTGATGTGGATCAAATTCAAATTGGCGAAATCCAGTGAGGGACCAGCTTCTATCTGGGTCTCGCACTGTTCAAAACGAGCAACCGTAAATGAAAAAAAAACATTTTCATTTTTGCAGGCAGCACGACACACTCACAACCCATTAAGAAGGCGGTTTTCCATAATGTGCCAGCTGTCTGTTTCCTGTTTACGTGATTGTTTTTAGTGATGTTTTTTTTCACCTTAATTTGCAGAAATTGCATGAAGAAGGATAGCAGTAAAATTTCCAGATCCACTTCTAGCACGTGCAGCTTCAGCCTCCCCACAGATGATACTCACCTGGTAAAACACACACACACACACACACACACACACACACACACACACACACACACACACAGTTAAAAAGGACTCTTATTCACATTTTTTTAAGCAGTTCCTTTTAAGATGTGTCTTCTAATGCATTTCACAGTGCAGTTGCCAGCAGGACGAATAAATTGAGTGATTGACACAAAAACTATTACCATTTCACTGTCTGCTCTTCTTAAATCTATTCCCATCTGCTACAGTTTGAAATGGAAGACCTTGCTTTTGAATATACAAAGGCAGCACGCAATTCATGAATCACTTTTTTCTCCTCTTTGTCTGCAGGTCGTCCATGCTGTGACAGTAGAGGGTCAAGGATCAAGTCCGCTCACCGTCTGTCGAAGCCCCACAGGTTGACAGCTTGACAAACTAACAAGATATTCAGATTTCTCTCCCATTTATTGTGCATCCTTGCATTTCATCTCTTACAGCTACTTTATATTTCTTCCTGTTTACATGTGACTATGCTCTTGTTTTGTATCTTTGCCACCTTTCAGAGATGAAAAACAAAAACTCACCACGATCCAACCTCAAGTTTCGTTTTGACAAGCTGAGCCACTCTGCTGCAGTAAGTCTAACTTATATGATCGTTTGTTGCTTGCTTGAGTTTTATTTCATTAATGCTATCACCCCCTCGTCTGCGTTGTTAGCAGGGACATTAGACTGCAAAGACAAGGAAAAGGTATGTGTTGAATCAGCTACAACAGCAACCGCCGTCACTGAAGAGGGCGACAAAATGGCATTGAGACGTTTGCTACGTGGCCTCAATCATTCCCAACTGGTCTCTTCATCACTTATGATTATGATCGGTTCGCACATTGTGATTCATCCCCATGAGAATGGCGAATGAATGTGTTGGATTCGTTGAAATAACCCTAATGATGTCACAGCACCACCACTGGCTTGGAGGTGAGTAACTGTTTACAAAAGGGCCAGGCTCACGCAAGGACACTATTCACCTGAGTCCAGGGAAATGTACAAGCATTAAATACCAAGACGAGCTAATTCCATCATTCTGCTCTTCTTTTAAAGTCTTTCCTGTTCGTTTTCCAGATGTATGGTACAATAATGCCCAAATACTGCAGTATCAGCACCTTAAAATCTGATTTGATCAGTTCAAGTGAAAATCTGTTGAAACACTTTAATCAACGCTAGTAGTAACACCGCCATAGATGGTTGCAGTCAAGTGAAAAATCAGGGATAGAACCGAATGAGGGTGTATACTGAAAAATGTATTTTTGTGTGGAATAGAAGCAACTAAAATTGACATGCAGCACTTTCCCCTGCAATATAATTCCATATTTTTGTTGCTCAGAAATGAAATGTACTTATACCTCCTGGAACAAGACTTGTAATCAGAATTTTGAACATTTCTACATCTACCTACACTTGCATTGAACATGGACTCTTTATTTTAAATCAGCTTGTTTGACACTATGTTGTAACTTGTGCAAAAAACTACAAATGGAATTGCCATTTGAAGCAAAAAACTAAAAGGTAATAGAAAAGAATGTTGCACTACAAAAACAAGTGCTTCTTCCTCCTTGTAGGTGTATAAACCAGGTGTTCTCAAACTTTTTGGGTCCAGAGTGTGAAAGAGCTAGAAAAGCTGCAGATAGCGGTCAGACTCATGCTGGAGTGTTTAATTGGCCCAAAGGTAACATGGGGAAGGAGGTCAATTGGTTTGGTACAGTATGTTTGTTTTACTGGAATGCTGGTTCCCATAGGCAGATTTGTCCTTTTTAAAATGAAATGACATAACTAATTATTTATTACAAAATATTTTTTGTTACCCCGGTTTGATAACCACTGGTCTAAACATCAAAAATGTACACAACTCTGTCTTTGCACTGAAAGCACAACGTTCCTCATGTATTATGTTCCTGCATTCTCTCCCAAGCATTTCTGTGTATTAAGAGGATGAGCAAATGTAGCATGTTTGTTTGTCTTGTGTCCCTTCATCTGGCTTGAGATTGTTATAATTTGTGTTCCTTTCAATAAAAATGTTCATGTTTGTTTCCATTTATCCAAAAATCACTGTAAAGACGTAAAATGTACAATAGCTACAGTTCAAGGCAACATATTTCAATAAAGTTCCATTGAAAATTGTTTTTTATTGTGACATTCAGTGCCAATTAATACAATGCGATATTAATTGTAAGGTGGTCACATTCACACCACACATTGAAGGTCATTTCAGAAACGTGCGCGTGTGTATGTGTGCGCGCGCACTGGGGAAAAAAATAAAATAAAATCGCGATTTACACTCCATACCTGACGGTGGCGGTAAAGCAGCGATAATTTGTTTGCAAACCCTAAAACAACAAATGGAAGAAGAACAGCCAAGCTCAGCAGCAGCAGCAGCAGCAGCAAGTCGTTTGTTCGCAGCGGTGTCATGGCGGCGGCGCGCAGCTTGCGGGTTTCGGTGAAATCAGACAGCGGCTCTGACCACTCCGAGTCCGAGTCGGACTCCGAGTCCGACAGAGGTGCCCGCGAGCCCGAACCTATGGAGGTGGAGGAAGGGGAGCTGGAGGCTGAAGACATCTCCAACAACCGGTCCCTGAATGATTTGCTGCCGGTAGGTTGTCCCGCGTTGGGCCTCACCAGACACGGCGCTGGCGTCTTCTGCGTCCTGGAGAACTGTGGAAGGATAGCCGCCGTGTGGTAACACCAACCCACTCTCGACCCGGGGAACACTTGGTGGCTGTTGTGAACATCATTTCACTGCATCCATAGTGGGTTTTTAAGACACTTTCAGACGCGACTGGCTGAATAAAGTCACGCATTTCTGACACTTGTTGCCTGTTAGCATTATCCTGTGGCGTTGCCTCCAAACTCGTATCGGGAAAATGCACCTCAAACGTTCTTCGCATGTTGAAGCGCTCAAGCGTGTTATATTTCCTAACATCGTTAGAAAATTTCGTTGTGTCGTCTAACTTCGATTCATTCGGTTTATTCACAGTCAGTATTTGTCTTCTTTTTCACGGGTTTTAAAGATTATTTTGGGGTCATTGCTTTCCTCTTGTCGTTTGCCCTTTGGATTAAACAACTGAATTTGTCTACATGAGCTGTGCAGTTAGTGACTGAAAATCTGATCGTTTGATTTGTGTGTCGATGCATTTTCATTGGGACTCTGAGTTGAGTGATTTGTGCACACTGGACTGTCCACATGAGGATGAGTTGGATTTTTCTTTTTAATGACATAAGTCTTCCAAAGATGCTCCCTCAAATTCACATGTCCACACTTTTGTGGCATCATACAATGTCAGTTTCACACCCTTTATAATGAGCCCAGGTGGCACTTTGGACAAGTAGTAGTGGTATTTATTTTTATTCCTCTGATTAGACCTGCAATGTTACACTTTAGTTGTCCACTCGTTGATTCAGCTGCTGATTAGAATGTAAGTCTTGGTGGAGGCCAGTCATTGTTTCTACTGCGCTGTTTGGGTTCACTATTCTCGCTCTTATTGATCTGAAGATGAAATTCTCATCCAGTTCACATCCACAAAGTTTCACTTTTTAAAACAAGTGATGATTTGCTTTGTTTGCAGGACACGGGCAGGCGCTACGAGAACAAAGCTGGAGCATTCATCACCGGGATTGACGTCAATTCAAAGGTTGAGAAGTAAAAGAAAAAAGCGTGCTCCACGCGCATTCTGTGCGGTTAAGCGTTGATTGACACACTGATCGTGTTTCCACCAGGAGGCCATTGAGAGGAAAGAGAAGCGAGCGAGGCGTTTCCACTTCCACGGGGAGGTGAACGCCACTCAGCGCAACATCTTCCTGGATAAAGATGCAGTAAAGAAAGGCAAGAGAAGACATAGCCTGCAAAAAGGATAACTTTTGTGGTTGTAATGGCTATTGCGTATACTGTACATGTCTTCAGCCATCCCCAAAGTGCGCATGGAGGCTGTCCACATCATGGGTGTCGATGACATGAGCACTCAGGACGTCTTTGGCTACTTTAAAGAATATCCCCCCGCACACATTGAGTGGATTGACGACACTTCCTGTGAGAATGCTCCCTTTTCTTACCCACTGTTGTTCCTCAAGTGCATTTTTCCCTTTAGAAAAGTTTCCAGGTGTCTTAATAAAATCTCTCAGGCAGGCTTTTGTCAAAATATCCAAAAGATTAAGAATTGTAACACAACCTGTTTAATCTCACCCTTGATGGTGAAGCGGGCACGACAGGAATCAAGTCTTTCTATGCAAATCATAAAAAAATCGGGTTTTTCTTTAAATAAAAACCAGTTGGTTTCCCCAGGCAATGTGGTTTGGCTGGACGACAACACAGCCATCAGAGCCTTCATCAACACCAGCCGCATGCCCGACCCACACACTGCTATTGTGACAGATACGGAGAGCACCACCCAGCCGGGCAAGCACAGAAAAAGTCAGTCAAAGAAACAAATGAGTCCCCAACAGGGTGTGGGTAAATGTCTTGACGGGTGGTTTAATTGCAGGTCGTCGGAGTCAGGGGTCAGATGACGATGATGACGAAGAAGAGGGCGAGGTGGATGAGGAGGTGAAGAAGACCAGCGAGGAGAGCGCGAAACACAGTGATGGGGAAGAGGAGCACACGACAAAGGTGAAATTAAGACAGTTTTCATAAATTATAAATGTTGTAGAGCCCCTCAGTGATTGGTCAAGAAGTCAATGATGAATTAGTTTGCACACAAACAAGAATACTGTTCATCAGACTTAAAATGAGGAGCACTGACTAATGGCATCCATGAATATTTTTGTTGATTTGATGTCAGGGGGACGACCTTTCGCGGGCCGAGAGAGAATCTCTGCTGAGGAATGAGCCACGTCCTGCCATCAAAGCCTTCAAAGGAAACAAGCTCCTTCTTCGCTTTGCCACCGAAGGTTTCTCCTACAACTACGTCTGCACTACCACATGCGCAAGAATGGGCGCCTAAACTTAAGACCTTTTTATGTTCTAATTCAGATGACAAGAAGGAGCTCGGTGTCGCCCGGCGCAGTCGGTACTACATGAAGTACGGAAACCCGAACTACGGAGGCATGAAGGGGATTCTCAGCAACTCCTGGTGGGTCAAAAGCTCTCGTTCCCCCTTTGAAATTCCACTAGTGACTAAGCCCTGCCGCAACTGGCGAAAAGACTTGCTTAACTGACCGCTCGCCAAAAGTTTAAACTTGCCTGAATTAATGGTTCAAATGTACCACAGACTATCATCCCAAAACAATTTGGAATGTAATTATCCCTAAAAAGACTTTAAAAAAAAAAAATCCAAAAACACTTGAAGTACACTACACTTGAAGTGCGCGTGAACATATGGCGATGATTCTCATAACTTCCATCGCCTTTGAAAATTATAGATTAGTCTCAATTCCCAACAAGGGTTTAAAAAAAAAAACAGCAGCTACCACACCAATAGGTGGAGGAACATGGGTTACAAACTGGATTATTAGAGATTTGTAACACTAATAGTGTGATTTCTGTGCTCTCTGTGTGGGTTTCCTCAGGAAGAGGAGGTTTCATAACCGACGGATGCAGCGAGACGTCAAAAGCAAGAAGCCTCTGATTGGAGACAGCATGGGACACACTCCACCATACACACACCGACACTCTGGTAAAAAAATAAAAATAAATAATAATAGTAACGAAAAAAAAACTTGCACACAAACACAACTTTTAGGTCAGAACTCATCTATATAAAGAACTACAACCCAGAAAGACATTACGACTGACAAACCTTTCACCACTCCAGCTGACCTGGTTAACCTGCCGGAGGAGCCCATCAAGGAGGAGGAGGAAGAGGATGAGGAGGACTACGGTGATGAAGACATGGACTCGGATGACCGGGTGGTGGAATTCAAAGAAAAAGGAGACAAGGGCGTCTCATCCTCACGGCCTCCACTGGCGGGGCCCCGTAGGAGGCTAGAGCGCTCGCCATCTCCATGGTCCGAATCGGACGAGATGGACTACGATCTGGAGCTGAAGATGATCTCCACGCCATCGCCAAAGAAGAGCAAGAAGATGACAATGTACGCGGATGAGCTGGAGGCACAGCTGAAGAGCATCAGGTCTGAACTGCAGCATCATGTTTTGCTGTTAGGTGAATTACACTCAATGTTGCCACAGTTACCTTGACAAACTAATGTGATTGCCAATTACTCATCTAGAAGTAATTTATTTAGTGATTACTTGATTGTTAAATAGCTAAACACTCTTTGTGACCTATGAAACTATTGCCGAAGGTCTTTGTGACCGTTTGCGACCTTGAACAACCCCTGACGAGAAATCAACATTCGAACCATGCGCAAACACTTGCTGTGCTGATCCGGTGTCTCGCCCCAAGCAGAAACAGGGTGGGGGAGTCGGCATCACAAAGCCGGGCCAAGTCACCATCACCCAGCAAGGTGACCGACGTGCGGCAGCTACTCGAGGAGAAAAGACAGGGGCTGTCTCATCACAGGCAACAACCCCATGTAGTCAACAGCGGGAAGACAGGTGAGCCCCATGCGTGGTTTACAGTCAAAAAGGATCAAGCCATGGCTGCGAATCGCCAAAATCTGTGAGGATTGGCATATTGCAATTAGGTTTACAACTGCCTGTATATGCCACAAGATAGCAGCTAAGCAATAGTTTTGTCTCAATGAAACTACTCCCATCAACTCAACATAGTTCCTTCGTGCCAAGATAACACTAAAGTGATTTTTTTCTTCGTTACTTTTACAGGAATTAATGACAGATATGTTTAAAAAAAAAGCGAACAAATGAATTTGCTAATGCCAACGTCAATGAATAAGAATTAATGTTACTGCTTTGATACGAGTCAGCGAAGTGAGACAATGGTTTTCTTTTCTCTCTGTGCTAAGACATGTATGTATTGGTTACTTTCTTCATCATTACACGGGCAAACAATTGTCCGCAACCTTCTGGAACTTATCCTCAGTGAGAAACAGACACTCACAAACATTTGTTTTTACAGATGTCCGACAGCGGCTTGGGAAGAGGCGCTACTCAGCTGAAAGGGGACGCTCTCACTCGCCTGTCTCCCCAAGAGACACCCCTACCCCCGCCAGAGAACCAATCAGTGACGTGCATTGTCGACTCGGCGTTGTCAGTCGAGAAAGAGGCAGCTCATCGAAGTCATCCAAAGACAGAAAGACAAGTGAGTGCGTCATATATTTCAATCCATCAATCCATTTTTTGTTGCACTTGTCCTCATTCGGATCATGGGTGAGCTTGTGCCTGTTCCAGCTGACTTTGGGGACAAGAGATGGATAGGTTGAACTGGTTGCCACATAGATGGTCACACATAGACCAACACCCATCCGCGCTCACACTCACACCTCGGGACAATTTAGATTGTTGCATGAACAGTTTTTGGAATGTGGGAGGAAACCAGAGTACCCAGAGGAAAGCCACGCAGGCACAGGCAGAACATGCAAACTCAAGTGACATTATTTTTAATTCCAACTCCTGTGTGCAGGCAGCCTCTGGAGCCGACTGGGCGACAAAGAGGAAAAGACGGGAAGTCGCGAGCGCGGGCCGAGTGGCGGGTCATCAGGACTGTTCTCGTCCTCACGGCGCAGCGGGAGACGCAGAGGTAACACAGCGGAGGAGGAGGGTGAGGGTGAGGAAGAGGATGACTCCGCGCTGCAGAAGGTGTGGGGCGCCATGATTAAGCAGAAACAGGAACGTCTCAGCCACAAGATGAAGAAGAGCCGGCTAGACAACCTGCCGTCGCTACAGATTGAGATCAGCCGAGAAAGCAGCGAGGACTCGGATGTTTGAGACGAATATACTTTTGCACAATCATCGGAATTTCATTTTTGACACATAGTCAATCATGTTCATGGATGGATCATTGAGAGGATCTACTTGGCATATGCTTTGGACTCTGCGATTGCACTTGCAACTGCCCCCCTTTGGCTCAACTGTGTCACATCCTTTCTTTTAATACAAAACATCCAAAAGTTGGTCTGGGTGACATTCAACTTTACTTTTATATTTTGAATTCAATTTCGTTTTTGAAGAACTTGTACAGGTAACATGGAACAATGCCCTTTTTAAGACAGGACCATTCGCCCGCAATGTTGTTTGATCAAAGGATGTTTACTCGACAAACCCCTAATCATTTTAACGTTGTGTGAAGCTTCTCAAATGGGACCTAATGTTTTATTTTATAATCTTTAAATTGTCATTTTGTGTGTGGAACAGCAACAAGGCCAGTTGTCAACCTGTCTAATATACACACACGAGGCCAGCCATGCAATAAAAAAAAAAAAAACAAAAAAAACTAGTAAAACCTCAGAGAAACTGTTACAAAAAGCCCCACATGCTTAACTCCTCACGGACAATTTGGCATTCCTATACATCAGCATAAACCTTTGTTTTTTTTTTTCATTTCTACAAATTACAACGGCAATTGACGAAATTTGTTCGTAATGGACCTATTGAAATGATGAAGACTCTTCTTTCAAAAATTCAAACATGATTAAGTAGTTCGCCAAAAGACTGAGGTGAAAGCCTTGACAGCAACAACACTGATTCTACTCTTAATAAACATGACTGGATCAATAATAACCACTATCCTTCCACTTGAAATAAAAAAAACAAAAAAAAAACGATCTTTTTTGTTTCCAAGACTAGTGTTTCTGGTTCATGAAATAGGAGGCTCACTTACAATTGAACTCATGGTAGGGATTAAATTAATGATTGTGCTGTTTTTATGACACGAGATTGACCCATAATCTTGGTTGAATATTTTTATTATTTTCTTATTCCTAATCATTTATGATGTGGTAAGACATTACATTTCATTCTTAAGGCGGCAAAGTCACCTCAGTTGAACAATAAAATGCGTCGATAGATCTTGTCTCGCGCGACAGTGTGTTTGACTTTTCCAGTCAATAGGGGGTAATGTATTATAACAAAAAAAATGCTATTTCAGTGGTATCCAAGTAATTGTGGAAAGAAACTTGGAAGGATCAGTGTCAGAAAACAGTCGTTCGTGTATATTCGAATATGGTAGTCATCATGCATTACCAAACTATTTATCTCAACACGTGTGTTCCTCACTACGAATACTGAGAAAGACCAACAATTATGATTAATTTTCTGTCAAATGCTGAAACATTTGTTCTTTTTCATTTTGTAAAATATTTTACTTCCATGTGGCGTCGACACTCGTTGCGTAACTATTAACACGCACCACTTCTCGCCACTCTGATTGGTGAGTCTCTCGAGTCTTGTTCCCGAGGAGGAGCCAATGATAATGAAATACTTGCTTCCGTTTAAATGAAACGAGCCAATCGCAACGCGCTGACACGTTTCGTGTTGTTGACGTATAAAGGTCTTTGGTCACCAACGCCATTTTCTTGTCGGCGTCAACGGGGAGAAACGGGCTTATTAAGGCCGCTTGTAAACGACAAAAGAGTGGAAACTTGCTGTTTCGCCGTGATATTACGCGAGGAAACCAGCTCGCCGCATGAGTTAATGGACTGCCTGCTGCTCAATGCGTACCCTCGCGACAAAGTTGGTGTAGCTTTCCCCCGGTCGAAGATGGACGACAGTGCGGCGAGGGAAGATGCCTGCCAAGAGTATCAGTCCTCGCTGGAAGACCTCACGTTCAACAGCAAGCCGCACATCAACATGCTGACCATTCTGGCCGAGGAAAACGTCAACTTCGCCAAGGATATCGTCGCGATAATTGAAGCACAAATAAGCAAGGTTTTTATGATAAGAATATTCTTTTTGTTTAAAATGATTGCCGATTGTTTGTGTCGACGGTAGCCGCTTGCTAGCTTAAACATGGCGTCGGGCGTTAGTTACCCACAACATGTCGCCTCATCTCCGCATGTGTCTGGCGACGTTCCTGTTAGCAACGCGTTAAAAATAGTCTTCACTTAAAAGTGAAATTATAGTTATGCGTTGTTACTTAAGTTAATCGAAGGTTGTTCACTCAGGATTCCCTCGTGCACCAAAAAGTGAAGCAAAGTCCGCCATAAAAAGAAAAACAGATTGTGAGTTTTCGACGATAATTTTATCAGCTAACGTCCTCGGTGACATTTAACGTCGTTCTCTTGGTTCACGTAACAATTTACACCAAGACTTAACCGTCGCTGTCTGACGTTCACAGGCCTTCCACAGTGATAGCCGTCGAGCCGTCAAGTTGGTGTGATTTTCAGGAGGTGTAAGCAGAAATTAATAATGTTATAATTAATTTAATGGGATAAATATAATTTATTACCCAGTTTTAGTCGTGGCTTGTGATTTTAGCCGATTTAAAGGGTCATTTGTATTTAAGTCCTTCAATACATCGCCAAGTAGGAATTCAATGGATTTCTTCACAAGAGAAGTCCACCCAAAAATGGTCTTTACAATGTGTAGTGTGCGCCTCCGCAAGTCTAAACATGTCATTCTGATTAATACTGCGTTTGTGGAATATGAGTAAAGTATTAAAATTAAAATCTACCCCTTTTTGTCCATCTTAAGGGGTGGCCATTTTGCCACTTGCTGTCGACCGAAAATGACACCACAGTTGCTTGGGTAACAGCCAATCATGACTCAGCTTCAGACGACAGGTGAGTCGTGATTGGTTGTTTCTTCAACCCTGAGCAACTTCATTGTCAGTTGACACAAAGTGTCAAAATGGCCACCACTTCAGGTGACTTAAAACAGGTGGATTTTGCTGCTTAACTAATATTCCAAAAACACTGTATTAACCAGAATGCCGTGTTTAGACTAGTGAAGGCGCATAAAACAAATTATTGCAAAGAACATTTTGGGGCTGACAGCCCCTTTACAATGGAGGCATAGCTGAATTTTAATTCTCGTTCTACGATATTCATATTGTAAAATACTGACGCTACTTTGCCAAAAGTATTTACTCACCTGCCTTGACTTGCATATAAACTTGAATGTCATCCCTTTCCTGCCGTTTAATGCATCAGTCCACCCTTTGCCGCTATAATAGCTTCAACTCTTCTGGGAAGGTGTTCCATGAGGTTTGGGAGTTAGTTTATGAGAATTTTCACCATTCTTCTGGGAACACATTTGTGAAGTCCTGACATGAACCCGATAGAACACCAATCAAACGACTTAGGGCTAGGTCTTCTCGCCCAACATCAATGTTGGACCTCAAAAATGCACCTCTGGAAAAATGGTCACAAATTCACATGAGTACGCTCCCGAACCTTGTGGTTCTTTTGGAGAAGAGTTGGAGCGTTGATCCCTGCATAGGGTGGACTGTCATTAAACAAACCCTATAGATTAAAAAGGTCACAAATTTATGAAGCAACTGCCTGGGTGCTTTTAGCAATAAACTATTTTTGCAATCCAATTTTAGTCCTGGCATTTAATTTCATACGGCATTTCAAAGGTTAAGAAGCCTCCATTAAGTTGTCAAACAACAAGCACTACAAGTAAGCATAAATATAATGTTAAAATAACAATGACTACATGGAGTACTGTTTTTTTAGTACAGTATTGATGTGGGCCGAGTTTTTGCTAACTTAGTTGTTGTTCATGTAGTCTAGTATGTGACCTCCATTTGGAATAAACAGCTTTGACCTTGAGCACAGTACAAGTAATGATTACCTAATTCAACAAAGTAAATAGAATCATTGTTTTTTATGGTGGATTTCTGCCTCTATAGTTGTGTATTTGAACGTTCACTGTGTTCTCGCAGTCCAGAAATAAAAACGTGCTCCTTGAGACCACAGTGTTTTTTTTCCCCGTCCTCCTCCTCAGTCTTGTTAATGTAATAAATGGAGTTTAAAAAAAAGTTAGTTGGACAACAGTTTTGGGCTTTTAGTGAAGTAAATGTTAGTCAGCAGCTTGCCTTAGTTCTCATTCTTTGCATTTTGACGCATGACGTAACAAGTCTGATTTCACTCACGTTTCCCCTGCTTTTATCTCGGAGTGAATTTTTGAAACTGTTCTTGACTGGCTAAAATGTTTAATAATAAAAAATGTGAAATGTGCTTTTTGTCATTTTTTTATTTCCCAGTGTAATTTATTGCTACGAGTCTGGTTACCTTTTACTGACAATGTTGAGCCTACTCTGGTTGGCTGTTGAACAACATTCCAAAGATGCAGCAGGGTTAAGTCATAGACTTGAGTCACAGCTGCTTTAAAACGCCTCCCAAAATAAGCTGAACTTTTTTTTTTAAAGAGTAATTGTTGGGGTTTTTACTTTTTTTTTTTTTTTTTTTTTTTAATGACTGCAAAACAAAGTGACAAGTCATTGGGTGTGGAGCTGAAGACTGATGTCACCAGGGTAAAGTACAGAGAGTGCTTGGTTCATGGGAAAACACTCTCTGGAGGTAAACTGGTTCAAGGATGCAACATACTTTTTTTTTTTCCCCCCTTGCCCCCTTAAGACATTTTTCCTCATTGACTCTGGGGTGAATCAACTTCTACTTGACTTGGTTGTCAGAGGATGATTTTATCTTGTTGAGGATGATGCAACGTGGATCTTCACCTTTTCCAACCTTTTTTTCCCCCCCACAACATAGGGACTTAATTTGTGCATTTTTTTCCTCTGTTGAGCATTTTGCATTTGTTCTGAAATGTTATTTCTAACCCCTGTTGTGTTCTAAACTTGTTGAGTTTTCTATCGCTCTAGGCCCCAGCAGCTGAGAAGCTTCCAGTTTTGTACTTAGTGGATTCCATAGTGAAGAATGTTGGAGGAGAGTACCTCGCAGTGTTTGCTAAAAACCTAATCACTTCATTTATATGTGTCTTTGAAAAGGTACAGTTCTTCTTGATGCCTCTTTCCATTTATTGAAACCGAATCACCTGTAGCGGCCACAGTTGTTGCTTACTTTAATTTTTAGTTTCCTGCTATATTGTGCTTTATTAGCAGTAAGAGTTATTGGTGGCTTAAGATTTTTAACAATTTTGTCGAGCAATTGCTGCATTGTTGTTGAGCTTATGAGTTGAGCTGCAAGTAGCTGTGTACAAAAGCGGTGTACTGTGTTCGTAGGTGGATGAGAACACAAGAAAGAGTTTGTTCAAGTTGCGATCAACATGGGACGAGATTTTCCCTCTGAAGAAACTGTATGCACTAGACGTACGTGTCAACTCTGTGGATCCGGCGTGGCCCATCAAGCCTCTGCCGCCTACAGTCAATGCCAGCATCCATGTCAACCCAAAGTTTTTAAAACAGGTGTGTAGACAGAAAAGTTTATCACCCTTTTGGAAAATTACCTTTCGTCGTACCCGGATGGAGTGGACTTTGTTCTACAGCTAAACGTGTCATTTCTGTCCCTTATACGTCCGGTTCCTGGACTCTAGTCCGAGGAAGCCCCTTCTCGGCCTACCCCTTCACAACTGCCTCCGCCAGTAATTCAGTCCAGCTTGACTCAAGAGCAGATGATCAGACAGCAGCTGTTGGCCAAGCAGAAGCAGCTTCTTGAGCTTCAGCAGAAGAAGATTGAGCTGGAACTGGAGCAGACCAAGGCACAGCTGGTAGGCAAACAATAGGATTTCCAAAAGGCTTATTTTGATAGTTTTGTGCTTAGTATTTTGTTAGCTTGTTGCTATGTTGACCTGAGTAGAAAATACATGTTATGGTAGACCACTATGTCTAAAGCAAGCAAGCACTGCTAAAAGTATTTGCTTATTTACATCAAAGTGGTTAATTGTTACCTATCAAGGGGGGCAATTTTTATTAAGGCTTAAATTTATAAAAGAGCAAAAAGAACTTCAGGCTGGCTGTTGATTTCATGTCCCAGATTTACAGAGTGGAAGGTTCAGTATTCGAAACACACCATATTTTCAAGTAGTATTTGCTAAAGGTCTTTGCTACCTGTTTGTTTTGGGTCAGTGTGAGTTAGTTCCAATAGAATGTTATCATGTTGCAGGTGGGAGGATTTTCATTATTAACACCAACCCCAGTACCGCTCGTGACATCACCGAAGCCAGTTGGGCAGCCTACCCCTGTGGTTCGACCCCTGATTGCGCCTCAGCCTCCAAGTGACCCTAAATTACCCACTAGAGACCCGCGTCTGAACCGCATAGGGCCCACAGGACCTTTGAAAAACAAAGAGAAGCCTGCTGAGCAAAAGGAAGCCCCTCCTACAATAGTAACTCCTGTTGTAACGCCAGAGAAACGAGCAGCTGATAAAACACTTCATTCAGAAAAGGGACGCATCCCAAGAAAGGATGAGAAGCTCAACACAAAGTCTCCTCCAATGACTAAAAATGTTCAGATTAAAAACAAGCATCCTGAAGTTGAGAGCCACAAGTCTACAGACAGCTCAAAGAAAGACCCCCGTTTGAAGAAACGTGTCCTGGACAAGGCTGGAGATAGCAAAGATGATGAGCAAAAGGAGAAGAAAAGATGCAGCGACAAGCGAGATGAGTCGGCACGGGTCACCGAGCTGCCAAAAGCCTACAGAGGAAGGCTGCAGAACGGCCTGGTGACCAAACGTGAGCACAGTGAGTCTGCAGAGAAGGTCGGCGGCAATGCCCGAACACATGCCAGAAAACGCACGCGCTCTAGGTCCAAATCGCGCTCTCCGAACTCTCCAAAGAGAAAAGGCAGAAGGTCACCCAAGAGCAGAACCAGGAGCACCTCCTTATCACCGTCGCCATCTCACAAGGCAGGAAACCCCAGGAGGGTCAGGGGTGATGAACCAGTGCATGGAAAGAACACGCGAGATGATCGACAGGCGCCCAAGAAAAACCAGGTGGAGAGCAGACGCTCCAAGACGCCGGTGGATGAGCGCAAGACGCCGGTGGATGAGCGCAAGACGCCGGTGGATGAGCGCAAGACGCCGGTGGATGAGCGCAAGACGGCGGTGGATGAGCGCAAGACACCGGCGGTGGATGAGCGCAAGACACCGGCGGACGAGCGGCGCTCCAAGACGCCGGCGGACGAGCGGCGCTCATCCTCCAAGACGCCGGCGGACGAGCGCCGCACATCCTCCAAGACGCCGGTGGACGAGCGCCGCACATCCTCCAAAACGCCGGCGGACGAGCGCCGCTCATCCTCCAAGACGCCGGCGGACGAGCGCCGCTCATCCTCCAAGACGCCGGTGGACGAGCGCCGCTCCAAGTCCAGAGAGTCTCCACGGAGCCACGACGGAGGCAATAACCAGGCCAAAGATCCTCTCCGCTGGAGGAGTGGCTGGGATGAGAACAAACAGTGAGTCACTCATGTTCTCCATGCTTCAAATTTCATCTTGACCATTGTCAGCTCTGCTGTTAAATTTGTGGACATCTGTCTTTGCACTTTCAGTCTTAAGCCTGGAGACTCACACACAAAGCAGGGAACCCAGAGGCACAAAACCTACAACACTCCAACCCGACCCACCACCCCCCGTACCCCGAAACACCGTCTCAGTGTGGACGCCAACCTTCAGATACCTGAAGTCCTCAACTCTGCGTCCAAGAAAGACCTGCTCAGAAGAGTATGTCTACCTAACACATTTATATGGACAGTTGATTTCAAATTCATCTAAAAATATTGCCAACATACAAAGGGTTCGTTGTAGTTGTTTGTTGACTTAAATAATGACTTCCAATTTGATATCTGCAGGCAAGCAAGAGCTTGGAGAGTGGTGAGATTTCACAGGAGGACTTCCTGAACATGGCCCATAAGATCAAGAACTTCTTCCAGTATCAGGAGGAGAAGCAACAGCGTCCAGAAAATTGGGACGCTGCCGCAAACTTTCCTGGCAGGAAGACGTTGCTGGCCACGCCTCCTGAGCCCTTGGACCAGGCTCAGTTGACTTACTTTGAGCACAAGTCCAAGCTGAGGAAGACGCAGGTGGCGCACCGCACCGCCGGAGAAGACTGGGATGGTTTGGAGGAATGTGAAGGGCCAGGCCGGGCACCACGGGATCAAGGTGAAGAAATGATCTGACAAAGTCAGCCGCCAAAATATTTTGAATGTGTCATCTAAAGTTGTTTGTTTGTTGACAGAAGAGAGGAGAAGCATAGAACGTGAGGAATCCAGACCTCCGCTCGCCCCCATGATAGAGGAGTACAACCACGGCAAAGAGTTCCCCGCGCTTAAATCTCTGCCAGGCCTTCGCTTCAGGAGGAGGGCTGACCCCAGAGAGTCCAGTGAGTGTACACCATACATTGGATCACATTGTGCTGGATTTCAGTGCTGTAGTGATAGGCGTTCAAGTTGGAATGGTTTGAATCAGTCAAATTGGAAGCAGAGGAAGCTTTTTGCACTAAGACAGTTGATGAGCTGATGTAACATCTTGCTCTTGCTTCATATTTTTTTTCCCCAGGTGAAAGAGAGTGGAACTCCCCCTTGACTGAGCGTCAACGTGAGGAACAGAAGAGCGGCTATGACGCTCCGCGGCGGTACGCCCCGTCAGCCGAGTCCAGGCACCCTGACCCACGGCGTCTGGATGGATCCTCCCACCCCAGCGGCCTGGTTGTCAGGAACTGTCCGAGCCCGTGTGCTCTGGAAACTCCGCTCACGGTGTTTGAGCGTGAACGTCTCTCACCGCTCCACCAGAGGGACATGGCGGACATGAGCCCTGTTCCACGCTTTGAGAGTCCCAACAGTGAACACTCAGATGATGGGCCGCTCCCTTCCGAACCACCCCTCGCCCCTCAATCTATCCTCCAGGGGCCTGTGCTTGGTGCGCTGTTGTCTAATATTCATCAGTCAAGTAATTCCCCGGGACACACCCCTCCGCACGAAGGTGGCCCCCTACCTCCCTGCTTTGACGCTCCCGGAAACATGGGCCCGTCTAGACCAAACCCTCCAGGCTGGTACAATGAGCAATCCCACTTTGAGGGTCTTCACACAGGCAGGCCCATTCATCACAACATGCCAGAGAGGTTTAACGGACCACACATTCCACAGGGACCATTGAGAAGCACGGACAATATGGGTCGCTTTGACGGTCATTTGGGCCCACAGGTTCCCCAAAGGTTTGATGGACCGGGGCCTGGACACTTTGACAATGCAGTCCAATGCTTTGACAACAACCTGGGTCCCAGTCCTGTACCAATGGGCTTGCAGCGGCCAATGCCCTTTGAGAACCCTGCATTGCGGTTGGAAGGCTCTGTCATTCCAATGTGTTATGAGGGACCCGGCCAGCCGGGGCCACGGTTTGACCTACCTCCTCAGGGCCCGCACTTTGACGGGCCACCCGGCCAACAGGGCCCCCTAAGATTCACATCCATACCGATGGGGCCGATGCCTCCTCCCATGTACGATAACAATATCCCCCCCCATCAAAACTTCCCAATGGCCCCGCAGCCATTCCCGGACCCCATCAACTCTCAGTTCCACCCTGCCCCAATGGCGTTCCCCACACCGCCGAACTTGCAGCCCACGGCTAACTTTAACATCCTGCCCGGGCCTCCGTTCAGCCAGCCGGGCGCCGACCCCTTCTTCAACCCCGCCGTAGCTTCAGTCAACATGCAGCCGCCGGTGAGCACAATAATAGTATTACGTTGGCGGCACCCCCCCCAAACAAATACCAGCCAGTAGATTTGGAAATTCTTGCCTTATGCCATGCTCATGTTGCTGGTTTTTGCGCTTAGGTGAACGTGTTGAACATGAACCAACCTTTCCTGCCTCAGAACCCAGCGCCTTTTGCACAGCCAGGTGGGATCACAAAACTGCTCGTCGCATTCATTGTACCGGGATGGTAAAGCATCATAAATAGTATCTCATAGTGCATCTAACAAAAGATGATGTTTTTGTTTCCCTGCAGCCCCCCAAATGGCCCCAACAGAGAACCACTTCGGTCAGGTTGACGTCAATGACTTGCTTTCCAAACTCATCTCCACCGGCATCATCAAAGGGTCGCAGCCCGACACGACAGCCCCCACGTGCGGTCAGTCCACTGTTGCATTTTGATAACTATAACCAGTAAGGAATGCCATTTTATTCATGTTAGACTTTTTTTCTCGCTCTCCATCCTCTTCCCCCAGAGTTACCCTCAGCGTGTCCAGAGGCGCCTCCTGTAGAGGAGGAAGAGGATGAGGAGGTGGAGGATGATTTCCCCGACCTCACCAACTTCAAGCTCGACGACATGAAACAGTGAGCTTTGTGACAATTATAATTATTCATATTTACTACTTTCCTAAAATGGTGTCTGCTCTGAGAAGTCCTGTTTTAAACTGAACAAAATGCACAACACATTTTGTTCCATTTAAAATGGTTTCCAGGTATCTTCAATGCATTCATCATCTCTAACAGGCCTTTAGCGGCTTAACCCAATCACTCCTTCATTGACAGACGTTACGAGAGCGTCGTGACCAAACTGTACTCGGGGAACCAGTGCTGCTTGTGCAGCATGAGGTTCACAGCCGCACAGACTGACCTGTACGCTGACCACCTGGACTGGCACTTCAGGCAGAACCATGCTGGCAAGGTGGCCGGCAAAAAGATCACGCACCGCCGCTGGTATTACGGCCTCACGGTAAGAAATCAACCACTTTCTTTATCAGAATCAGAATCATCTTTATTTCTAACAAAAGATGATGTTTTTGTTTCCCTGCAGCCCCCCAAATGGCCCCAACAGAGAACCACTTCGGTCAGGTTGACGTCAATGACTTGCTTTCCAAACTCATCTCCACCGGCATCATCAAAGGGTCGCAGCCCGACACGACAGCCCCCACGTGCGGTCAGTCCACTGTTGCATTTTGATAACTATAACCAGTAAGGAATGCCATTTTATTCATGTTAGACTTTTTTTCTCGCTCTCCATCCTCTTCCCCCAGAGTTACCCTCAGCGTGTCCAGAGGCGCCTCCTGTAGAGGAGGAAGAGGATGAGGAGGTGGAGGATGATTTCCCCGACCTCACCAACTTCAAGCTCGACGACATGAAACAGTGAGCTTTGTGACAATTATAATTATTCATATTTACTACTTTCCTAAAATGGTGTCTGCTCTGAGAAGTCCTGTTTTAAACTGAACAAAATGCACAACACATTTTGTTCCATTTAAAATGGTTTCCAGGTATCTTCAATGCATTCATCATCTCTAACAGGCCTTTAGCGGCTTAACCCAATCACTCCTTCATTGACAGACGTTACGAGAGCGTCGTGACCAAACTGTACTCGGGGAACCAGTGCTGCTTGTGCAGCATGAGGTTCACAGCCGCACAGACTGACCTGTACGCTGACCACCTGGACTGGCACTTCAGGCAGAACCATGCTGGCAAGGTGGCCGGCAAAAAGATCACGCACCGCCGCTGGTATTACGGCCTCACGGTAAGAAATCAACCACTTTCTTTATCAGAATCAGAATCATCTTTATTGGCCAAGTATGTAGAACACACAAGGAATTTGTTTCTTTGGCTTTCAGTTGGAGAGTGTGAGGCTATCGGTGTGTTATTTATTTTTTTTGCCAGGACTGGGTTGAGTTTGAGGAGATAGCTGACCTGGAGGAGCGAGCCAAGAGCTTGTTCTTTGAGAAGGAGAATGAGGAGGAGGTACAGAAGAACCAGGCGGCGGCCAAAGAGAAGGAGTTCCAGAGTGTCAAGGCCGCTAAAGATCAAGTCGCGGAGGTGGGTCCCCTGACTCCCGTCCTTTCGGTGGTGACTTGTAATCCCAATTTGTATGCAGATTTGTCACGAACAGTCTCGTGAAGACATTTGCTTAAAGACATTTCTTGGCCATCGATATGGAACAAGCAAATACAAGTTTGCCAGTAACTGAGGGTGCTTTTAATGTATCCTTGCACAAATGAATGAATTGTACCCTCTTGGGGACAGCTCAAGAAACGTAATTTTTAAAACCTGTTGAAAGTTTTGTGGCGTTTTGTCTTTTTGTCCTAACGCTTAAAAACCCGGCTGTGTCGACAGTTGTGCGAAATCTGCCAGGAGCCTTTCGAGACATATTGGGTGGAGGAAGAGGAGGACTGGTTCCTCAAGAATGCCATTAGAGTCGACGATAAGGTGTGTTGGGGGTGTTTTGGGTGTGTGGGGGCGGGGGGGGGGCAGTTTTTGACACGAACCACTCACTGACTCCTCACTTTCTGCCACCTTTTCTCTTTCTCCCCAGAACTTCCATCCTTCCTGTTTCGAGGACTATAAAAACGTGAGTATTAAAAGCAAGGATTATATTGCCCTAAAAAAATTATCTGACCCACTGCTATCGTTTCCCGCAGACATCTTCGTACATGGATGCAACGCCATCGCCCAACAAGGTGCTGAGCGAACACCCGCTGGGCATCTTCATAAAGGCAGAGGAAGATGACAATTCACAGTGTTGCACCTTTGAGGCCTCGATCAAGCAGGAAGCTGATCCTGAGGAGGGTGAAGGCGAGCATCCAGCAAAGAAGCAGAAAGTAGAGGAGCCGCTTTTAACAGATTTGCAATCAGAAGAGGACAGACTGTGAGCAGCTTCTCGGCTGCGCTTTTTCTTTGTTTTGAAGGAAAAAGTCTTCGGTTGGTCGGCGATTTAACTTGAATACATTTTGGTATTTGTGCCGAGCACTTCACCCTGCTGCTGCTTCGATAAGTGAAATTTTTCATTTTCGGGCTCAACGTGTACATGATTTAATTTATACATTAAAGTATTTTTGGAATCTCTGGCGTACCAGTGATTTGAATGAAACAACTGGTCTAAGTTGTAGTTTGGATAACTCCTCGTTTGCATGAGTTGATGATGGGCAGTTGCAGGGGTTCAGTTTATGGCCACGATGAAGGTAAGCATCAATCTCATTGGTCCGTGGAAGATCACCTGGTCAACAAAAGTTGCAGGCCATTTTTACTTCTTTTTCTTTTTTTGGTGTTCAGTTTCAATAAAGATTCAGAAACTTTTTGTGTGATTGTTCTTTGGTTTAATTGTTCTGTTTTTGAAATTAAAAATAAAGGCGTGAATTTCAACATTGTTTTTGTCTCATTATGAAAGTATGGTCTCAAATACCCCTTGTCCACCAAAAAACTTGGTGCTGGTTTAAATACTCAACATTGGACACCCCAGGATGAACAGACCTCTGATAATTTTGGCATTTGACTAATCTCAACGGGTGGAAAAATAGTCAAATTCAACCCAACTGTGTGCCTTGTTTTAGGAAGAAAAACAATTTACTCAACAAAACTTGCTCATAGTTTTACTTCAAAAAATCATGGTTAGCAACTCATGAATGTCATATTTCCATAAAAAAATTTGTAAACTAATGTTCCATATCAATGATCCTGATGTAAAATATCTGAAGCTTCCACTTAAAAAAATAACGTTTAAAAGAAGTATTTCCAGCTGGAACTATTTTGTGAGCCAAATGAAGATGGCACTCTTGTCACCTCCACAGCCGATAAACCCCCAGAGAAATTGCGAGGCAGGAAAACACCGTCGCTATGGAAACACAAAACACATAGGGCTTAATATACAGGCTTTCTACTAACACAAATCCTAAACATGATACCACAGGCAATATTTAAGACAAATTTAAAAATTAAAATAGTAGGTATCAAAGACAACTGGTACCTGCGAGGTAGCGAATGGTCTCCAGCTTGAGTGACTCCAGGATCGTTTTGAGTGAAGCCACCCGGAGGTCCATCTTCTTGCTAGTCTCCATGTTGTCATGTTCTAGCTCGGCTCTCTAAAGCACATGTTAACATAACAAGCCAGCAGTGAAACTACAAAAAAAATTATAATAATTATACCAAAAAGTAGGCAGCACTGCTGGGGTGCTCCACACATGAGAGGCCAGATTCAAACACCCAACTTCAAAAGTGTGAGGCAGATGTGCTCATCACTGGCCAACCGTGCTGGACATTAATACATGTTTTTAATTTACATTTACCTTTTGATGGAACTCTGTGTTGGCCTCCATTAGTTTCCTATCCTGTTCTGTGAACTGAGAGCGCACAGGGAGTTCAGTTTAGTGAAGTCCACGCACACTTTCACACACACACATCCATGCAAACTCACCATGTCAGAAACACGACTTCTCTCCAGGTTGATGTCCAGCTTGGTTTCCGCTCTGACTTTTTCACTTTCCTCCTGAACCCACACACATGTACGCACAAATACACTCTTATTCCCTGTATCACAAACATGCGCCACCCATCAGCTCACTCACTTTTAGTCGATTCTGCAGCTGCTCCAGTTCTCGCTTCATCTTCTGTGAGGCAAAAATAAAGAGCGTTTTACGCTTAACCACTCGTCTAACGTGTAATGCATCTGCTTCTAAGTCATACTATATTCTCAGAGCGCAGGTTGGCAAAGTCGCTCTTCTCCAGAATCACCATGTCCTTCCTGATGGCGTCCAGGTGGGCCATGATCTGCTGCAGCGCAATTTCCTGCAATGAGATTTTATTTTACTCATTTGTCATCTAGGACAGTGAATGCGACACATTCTCAACGTCCGAGCCCCGGCCTCTTGCCCCACCTGATGCGACTTGGTCACCATGTCTTTGTAGACGATATCCATGTTGGCCGTCGCCAACGTCACCAGAGCGGATACGATGAGCTCGGCCTGACGTTTGTCCAAACCTGGAGTGTGAGAACATGCTGTTCATTTGCAGTCTGGACACACGGGAACATTTCTGGAGGTGGCATCCAGAAGTCTCAAATAACACCATAAAAAGTTTTGGTGTCGCTTTTTTATTTTTATTTGGCGGGTCGCTAGAGTGGGCAGAAAAGTCTTTAAATGTTGTGAATTTCGGCTTGTCCCATCAAGTAGTTCCCTCACCACTACTCGCCAGCTCCATCACCATGGCGTGGGAGTCGAAAGTGAGCTTTCGCTGCTCCAAGGGAGTTAATTCAACTTTTCTCACGTCAAAAGTCGCCATCGGAGTGCCGACATGGAACCCTGTCACACAGATACAACTTCAGCAGCTGGGAAGAGGGGCAAGGACAAAATGGAGATTTGCACATCGATTTTCATTGTTCCCTCATCGAGTTACCTCTCCACTTTTGGACCCGCCGCAGCATCCAGCGCCGCAACAAAGTATTCATTAGACCCCGTTTTGAGTTTCAAAGTGAGATAAAAACTAAAAATAAGTATGGAAATTAAAGTGACACTTCCTTGTTGGATAACGACCCGGGTGTAAAGACCGGAAGTGCTGCTTTTTTTGTATTTCGTGCGGATATTCCGCCTACTTCACTGAAGACACAATTGGCCACCATTTAAAAAAAGACCCCACTATCATATATGGGACTCAATGTTATTGGATTTTATTTAAAATATAGCAAATGTTTAGCTGAATGCGTTTCAACAGGATCGTCTCACATTGGACGTGGTCACTTACTCTTACTTTCAATAAAGTTTTCAATTCAAACCTTATGGAGCCGTCATGGCAGCCACCTCGGTGGAAAAAGGGAGCTGGTTTCCATCGTTAGCCCTGGGGGTTTCCCTGCTCAAAGCTCTGTTTATGAACGCTTAGTGAGTCGGCTATCTTTTAACGGTGACATGTTGGTTTTTTTTTTTTCGTTCATTTGAGCCATACGGTGGTTTAAAACACCTCCAGGGTAGTCTGTTAGCATCCGGTTAACACAGTCTGACTGGCTCGATATTACTTCTTAACACCAGTATGGTTTAGTTGTCGAAGATGAAAAATGAATGTTGAGTGTAGATTTTTCAAATTAAATATTGCCACATGTATAGTATGTTACTGCAAACTTAACATGGTTAACATGGTGTGTGACTGTGTGTTTAAATGGTTGCTATGACGCCCCAGACTCACAAGATATCGCTGTTTCAGCTTTTGAAGCTTCCTTTTAGTTAAGAACGTGTACGTAAATCGGATTGTGTCGTAGATTTTCACTTTGATGAAATATCAGTTACGGTAAATATTTAAATGGAAATCTTTAGGACATGTTAAAAAAATCTGCTTGTAACCTTCATACATCATATGTGGGTACCGTCGTAAGTGCCAAATCTAGGGCTCTGTGTTATATCACAGCATTCTTTCCTTGACGGGGTAATCATGATTGTCTATTTCTTAACAATACCGTCTATAAATGTAACATTAGTGTACTTTTAGGTTATTTTATTTTTACTTTCATTGCATGAGTAGCACTGTGGATGAATCCAAGGATATGCCCCCCCCCCAAAAAAAGATTAATACATTAAAACTTTATGTCTCGTGTGATTTTATTTTGCTGACTGTTTATTTGTGTGTATAGTCACTCCACAGACTTTGAGGTGCACAGGAACTGGTTGGCCATCACACATAACTTGCCATTGTCCAGGTGGTATCATGAGGTGAATTTAAAACACAGTTTTTTTTTTCTCTTTGTCCTTTTAAATGTTTGTCCTGGCAGCTAATTTGTACAATGTGTTGCATTTGTTTCTCTGCCTCTTCCTTGCAGAACACATCAGAGTGGACGCTGGACTACCCGCCGCTTTTCGCCTGGTTTGAGTTCAGCCTTTCCCACGTTGCTCAGCACTTTGACAACAAGATGTTGGTAGTGAGCAATCTGAACTATGCCAGTCCAGCTACCATCCTCTTCCAGAGACTTTCGGTCATCTTCACTGACTTGCTTTTTTTCTACGGCGCCAGGGAGTGAGTGCGGCCACCACCAGTGTAAATCTCTATACATTTGTGCATTTAGTAGATGGTGAAACTGATATGCGGTGTCTTGTGTGCAGGTGCTGCAGGTGTGTCCGTGACCGGAAAGGTACTCGGGACATCTTTACTCATCCGTCTTTTGTCCTGGCTGTGCTGCTGCTTTGGAACTTTGGCCTTCTTATTGTTGATCGTATCCTTCAGCTAGGATTCCTGGTAGAGAATAGCACAGCCTTGAACTTGACACATTACTGCTCAGGAGAGGAGGGGCAGAGAACCGAGGAGAAGTGGTAGCAAAACAGGCCGAAATCTGGTTATCAGAAGGTGAAACAAAGTGAGAGACTAGTTGCATACAAGGTGCGGTTTAATCAAGTTCGAGAGCAAAAGGAGGAAGTCGTTGAACTGATGTCTATGCTGCGGTCTCACCCGATTTCAAGCACACTAAGCAGTTTAGACACTGACTATCATGTGTAAATTAATGATGATCCTGTGGTTCCTTGATGTCCTTTCTCAGACATTCATTTTCAGTACAACGGTTTCCTCTTTGGTTTCCTGCTGCTGTCCGTCGCCAAACACTTGCAGGTAAAAGACTCGAAAAAGCCTACTCGCTCTGTCAAGCCCATGGGTGAACCTGATCCTTCTGCCTTGAATAGTCTCAGCACCTGCAGGGGGCGCTGCTTTTTGCCATCCTCCTCAATCTGAAGCACATCTACCTGTACGTGGCTCCGGCATATGGCATCTTCCTGCTGAGGAGCTACTGCTTCACACAGGACAACCGTGGTCTGACACATGAAACATTCAACCCACACATGCTGTTTCATAAAAACTGAAATTGGCACAGCTTCTGAAAAGATTTTCCACCCCCAAGGCCTAACAACAACCGCTCTTTGTGTTTTTTGTCTGCAGACGGCTCCATAAGATGGAGGAGCTTCAGCCCGCTTCGCCTGCTCACGCTCGGCAGCATCGTGGCGGCTGTGTGCGCTCTTTCTTTTGGCCCGTTTATTGCCATGGTGAGTGGACCCGAATGAGGACAAGTGCTGCAGAAAATAGTTATCCAGACTAAAGAATTGCTATGTTTTGTGCATATTGAAGGGTCAGCTTCCTCAAATGCTGTCGCGCCTCTTCCCCTTCAAGCGAGGCCTCTGTCATGCCTACTGGGCGCCAAACGTATGGGCCCTCTACAATGTCCTGGATAAAAGTCTGGCCACTCTGGGTACGAATGTAAACATTGTGCATCCTCAAAAACAAAAAGATCCAAGTTGTGAATGAACCTTTCCCTGACAAAGGTAATAAAATTGATTCTAATTCTGATTCTGCAACAGTTGTGTGAGAATGCACAATGTCCCGATTAGGCGTGTTCTCTACGTAAGATCCCCCCCAAAACATCCCATCTGTTGCACCAGTTTATTGGGAATCTACGGTGAAGACTTAGAAATAATGAATGTTTTTTTTCAGGTGCTTGTTTCAAGCTTCTGAACGAGACGACGCTCCCTCGGGCCTCCATGACGGGTGGGTTGGTTCAAGAGTTCCAGCACTCTGTCCTTCCTTCTGTGACTCCGTCCATCACAGTTGTCTGCACTCTGCTGTCCATCCTGGTCAGTCTTATTTTTATTGTTGTTATTATTAGGGCCAGAACTCTCGCCTTGTTTTCTTCAATTTCATATTCATTCTAATGCCTGGTACTACGGTGTGTAATCTGACTAACCGGAAAGAAAATATGGAATGCCTTAAAGAACAATTTTTGGCATTATAAGACCATAGCTGAATTAAAAACTCATACGCTATTTTGGTTGTCACAATGTCGATTGAAACGTTCAATTTACGGAAAATGAGAGAATTCACCATACCTCTCAGATATTTTTTTGGAGTTCGCGATTGTGTATATTTGTCAAAATGAGATGTCAGGAGTGAGGTTTTCTGTCCACCTGCTCGCCCAAGACAACATTCCATCACAGACAAGCCTTAGGGGTGTTGACAGGTCTTGTTTTTTTTGGTAAAAAACGCCTTACTACAGATGGTGTTTTTTTTCGGCCAAATAAAACGCCTTTCTATACATGGTCGTTTTTTTTTTCCCAGCTAAAAACGCCTTACTATACATGGTCGTTTTTTTCGGCCAAAAACGCCTTACTATACATGGTCTTTTTTTTTTAAGGCCAAAAACGCCTTACTATACATGGTGGGGTTTTTTCGGCCAAAAACACCTTACTATATACTATACATGGTCGGGTTTTTTTAGGCAAAAAAACCGCCATGGTCATTTTTTTCGTCCAAAAACGCCTTACTATACATGGTCGTTTTTTTTTCGTCAAAAAACGCCTTACTATACATGGTCGTTTTTTTTCGTCAAAAAACGCCTTACATGGTCGTTTTTTCCGGCAAAATAAGCCTTACTATACATGGTCGTTTTTTCGTCAAAAAAAAACGCCTCCCTATACATGGTCGTTTTTTCGTCAAAAAAAAACGCCTCCCTATACATGGTCGTTTTTTCGTCAAAAAAAAACGCCTCCCTATACATGGTCGTTTTTTCGTCAAAAAAAAACGCCTCCCTATACATGGTCGTTTTTTCGTCAAAAAAAAACGCCTCCCTATACATGGTCGTTTTTTCGTCAAAAAAAAACGCCTCCCTATACATGGTCGTTTTTTCGTCAAAAAAAAACGCCTCCCTATACATGGTCGTTTTTTCGTCAAAAAAAAACGCCTCCCTATACATGGTCGTTTTTTCGTCAAAAAAAAACGCCTCCCTATACATGGTCGTTTTTTCGTCAAAAAAAAACGCCTCCCTATACATGGTCGTTTTTTCGTCAAAAAAAAACGCCTCCCTATACATGGTCGTTTTTTCGTCAAAAAAAAACGCCTCCCTATACATGGTCGTTTTTTCGTCAAAAAAAAACGCCTCCCTATACATGGTCGTTTTTTCGTCAAAAAAAAACGCCTCCCTATACATGGTCGTTTTTTCGTCAAAAAAAAACGCCTCCCTATACATGGTCGTTTTTTCGTCAAAAAAAAACGCCTCCCTATACATGGTCGTTTTTTCGTCAAAAAAAAACGCCTCCCTATACATGGTCGTTTTTTCGTCAAAAAAAAACGCCTCCCTATACATGGTCGTTTTTTCGTCAAAAAAAAACGCCTCCCTATACATGGTCGTTTTTTCGTCAAAAAAAAACGCCTCCCTATACATGGTCGTTTTTTCGTCAAAAAAAAACGCCTCCCTATACATGGTCGTTTTTTCGTCAAAAAAAAACGCCTCCCTATACATGGTCGTTTTTTCGTCAAAAAAAAACGCCTCCCTATACATGGTCGTTTTTTCGTCAAAAAAAAACGCCTCCCTATACATGGTCGTTTTTTCGTCAAAAAAAAACGCCTCCCTATACATGGTCGTTTTTTCGTCAAAAAAAAACGCCTCCCTATACATGGTCGTTTTTTCGTCAAAAAAAAACGCCTCCCTATACATGGTCGTTTTTTCGTCAAAAAAAAACGCCTCCCTATACATGGTCGTTTTTTCGTCAAAAAAAAACGCCTCCCTATACATGGTCGTTTTTTCGTCAAAAAAAAACGCCTCCCTATACATGGTCGTTTTTTCGTCAAAAAAAAACGCCTCCCTATACATGGTCGTTTTTTCGTCAAAAAAAAACGCCTCCCTATACATGGTCGTTTTTTCGTCAAAAAAAAACGCCTCCCTATACATGGTCGTTTTTTCGTCAAAAAAAAACGCCTCCCTATACATGGTCGTTTTTTCGTCAAAAAAAAACGCCTCCCTATACATGGTCGTTTTTTCGTCAAAAAAAAACGCCTCCCTATACATGGTCGTTTTTTCGTCAAAAAAAAACGCCTCCCTATACATGGTCGTTTTTTCGTCAAAAAAAAACGCCTCCCTATACATGGTCGTTTTTTCGTCAAAAAAAAACGCCTCCCTATACATGGTCGTTTTTTCGTCAAAAAAAAACGCCTCCCTATACATGGTCGTTTTTTCGTCAAAAAAAAACGCCTCCCTATACATGGTCGTTTTTTCGTCAAAAAAAAACGCCTCCCTATACATGGTCGTTTTTTCGTCAAAAAAAAACGCCTCCCTATACATGGTCGTTTTTTCGTCAAAAAAAAACGCCTCCCTATACATGGTCGTTTTTTCGTCAAAAAAAAACGCCTCCCTATACATGGTCGTTTTTTCGTCAAAAAAAAACGCCTCCCTATACATGGTCGTTTTTTCGTCAAAAAAAAACGCCTCCCTATACATGGTCGTTTTTTCGTCAAAAAAAAACGCCTCCCTATACATGGTCGTTTTTTCGTCAAAAAAAAACGCCTCCCTATACATGGTCGTTTTTTCGTCAAAAAAAAACGCCTCCCTATACATGGTCGTTTTTTCGTCAAAAAAAAACGCCTCCCTATACATGGTCGTTTTTTCGTCAAAAAAAAACGCCTCCCTATACATGGTCGTTTTTTCGTCAAAAAAAAACGCCTCCCTATACATGGTCGTTTTTTCGTCAAAAAAAAACGCCTCCCTATACATGGTCGTTTTTTCGTCAAAAAAAAACGCCTCCCTATACATGGTCGTTTTTTCGTCAAAAAAAAACGCCTCCCTATACATGGTCGTTTTTTCGTCAAAAAAAAACGCCTCCCTATACATGGTCGTTTTTTCGTCAAAAAAAAACGCCTCCCTATACATGGTCGTTTTTTCGTCAAAAAAAAACGCCTCCCTATACATGGTCGTTTTTTCGTCAAAAAAAAACGCCTCCCTATACATGGTCGTTTTTTCGTCAAAAAAAAACGCCTCCCTATACATGGTCGTTTTTTCGTCAAAAAAAAACGCCTCCCTATACATGGTCGTTTTTTCGTCAAAAAAAAACGCCTCCCTATACATGGTCGTTTTTTCGTCAAAAAAAAACGCCTCCCTATACATGGTCGTTTTTTCGTCAAAAAAAAACGCCTCCCTATACATGGTCGTTTTTTCGTCAAAAAAAAACGCCTCCCTATACATGGTCGTTTTTTCGTCAAAAAAAAACGCCTCCCTATACATGGTCGTTTTTTCGTCAAAAAAAAACGCCTCCCTATACATGGTCGTTTTTTCGTCAAAAAAAAACGCCTCCCTATACATGGTCGTTTTTTCGTCAAAAAAAAACGCCTCCCTATACATGGTCGTTTTTTCGTCAAAAAAAAACGCCTCCCTATACATGGTCGTTTTTTCGTCAAAAAAAAACGCCTCCCTATACATGGTCGTTTTTTCGTCAAAAAAAAACGCCTCCCTATACATGGTCGTTTTTTCGTCAAAAAAAAACGCCTCCCTATACATGGTCGTTTTTTCGTCAAAAAAAAACGCCTCCCTATACATGGTCGTTTTTTCGTCAAAAAAAAACGCCTCCCTATACATGGTCGTTTTTTCGTCAAAAAAAAACGCCTCCCTATACATGGTCGTTTTTTCGTCAAAAAAAAACGCCTCCCTATACATGGTCGTTTTTTCGTCAAAAAAAAACGCCTCCCTATACATGGTCGTTTTTTCGTCAAAAAAAAACGCCTCCCTATACATGGTCGTTTTTTCGTCAAAAAAAAACGCCTCCCTATACATGGTCGTTTTTTCGTCAAAAAAAAACGCCTCCCTATACATGGTCGTTTTTTCGTCAAAAAAAAACGCCTCCCTATACATGGTCGTTTTTTCGTCAAAAAAAAACGCCTCCCTATACATGGTCGTTTTTTCGTCAAAAAAAAACGCCTCCCTATACATGGTCGTTTTTTCGTCAAAAAAAAACGCCTCCCTATACATGGTCGTTTTTTCGTCAAAAAAAAACGCCTCCCTATACATGGTCGTTTTTTCGTCAAAAAAAAACGCCTCCCTATACATGGTCGTTTTTTCGTCAAAAAAAAACGCCTCCCTATACATGGTCGTTTTTTCGTCAAAAAAAAACGCCTCCCTATACATGGTCGTTTTTTCGTCAAAAAAAAACGCCTCCCTATACATGGTCGTTTTTTCGTCAAAAAAAAACGCCTCCCTATACATGGTCGTTTTTTCGTCAAAAAAAAACGCCTCCCTATACATGGTCGTTTTTTCGTCAAAAAAAAACGCCTCCCTATACATGGTCGTTTTTTCGTCAAAAAAAAACGCCTCCCTATACATGGTCGTTTTTTCGTCAAAAAAAAACGCCTCCCTATACATGGTCGTTTTTTCGTCAAAAAAAAACGCCTCCCTATACATGGTCGTTTTTTCGTCAAAAAAAAACGCCTCCCTATACATGGTCGTTTTTTCGTCAAAAAAAAACGCCTCCCTATACATGGTCGTTTTTTCGTCAAAAAAAAACGCCTCCCTATACATGGTCGTTTTTTCGTCAAAAAAAAACGCCTCCCTATACATGGTCGTTTTTTCGTCAAAAAAAAACGCCTCCCTATACATGGTCGTTTTTTCGTCAAAAAAAAACGCCTCCCTATACATGGTCGTTTTTTTTGTCAAAAAACGCCTTACTATATATACATTTTTTTTTTCAGCAAAAAACGCCTTCCTATACAGGGACGTTTTTTTCTGCTCAAAACACCTTACTGTACATGGTTGTTTTTTTTCTTAGCCAGCGTTGGCGTCCATCTGGAGGCGTCCTCGTGGTGCTCGTGGGTTCCTGCGCTGCCTGCTGGTCTGTGCACTCGCCTCCTTCGCGTTCGGCTGGCACGTCCACGAGAAAGCCATCCTTATCGCCATCCTGCCGCTCAGGTGCTTCATTGACTCTTCTTTTTTGTGTAGAATATACGTTTGCCATTTCGAGAATGTTTTATTTTTTTTTTTGTCTGCCTCCGATGCAGTCTTTTGGCAGTCGAGAGCAGAGACGATGCTGGGATCTTCTTGATTCTGAGCACAACGGGTCATTACTCGCTGTTCCCACTGATATTCACCCTGGCAGGTACAGTGCAAGCCAAAATTCCAAGCAGATTAAGCCCAATTTTGTCGAGTTCTATTTTTCTTAAAATAAAAAAAAACAAAAACTGCTGGAACACATTAATGACAGTTGCATTTTTATTTATGTTATGCAGAGTTGCCCATCAAATGTGCACTGATGATGATGTTCACCATCTTCTCTTTCGCTGCTCTTGGAAGACTCCACAGGTGGGACAAAGAAAAAATAAATACAAAAATAAACTTTACTGACCATTTCATTGAGTTTCTCCACTTAATACATTATTCTTGTAAACCAGAACTATTTCCTTTCTTGGAAGATTACAAGTTTATTCTGAACTTTTTTTCTTTTTTTTTTAATATAGTATTACAACTTTTTCCTCACAATATTCCATGTTTTTCTTAACAAATAATGATGATATTCTTAGTGGACCTTTTGCTCCTCCGCACAAGTAAAACTACAAACAGCACAAAAATACAATACATCCTATTGTAGAATATTGCTGACTGTGTTCTGTTGTCTCATTTCAGCGGGCGGGGGTCTTTGCTTCACCCTCTCGAGGTGGTCTACCTGTCAGGTCTTGCTGTGGTGGCTGTCGCCTGCGAGCTTGTCTTTCCTCTGTCGCCGTGGCAACAAAGGCTTCCCTTCCTGCCATTGTTGGCCACGTCCGTGTACGCCGCACTCGGCGTCTGCTACTCCTTCTTGCGTCTCTATTTCACGCTGCTGCGACAAGACAGCGGAAAGTTCAAACAGCTGTGAGAGACTGGGTCGGGGGTTCGATTCCTGCGCTGAACTGTGAAGTTTGTTGGGGAACAAGCAGGACTGCCGGAACTGTTTCCCTGAAGGGAGCAATAAAGTTTCTGCTTTAATGCAAAGAGTGCTTCAGTGTGTGTTAGCATGTTTGTGTCCGATTGTTTATTCCCCTGAATAAATGTTTTTTTTTTTTCTTCCTGTTTTTAATTAAAGACAATCAGACCCAAACTGACTGGAGAATGTTCCATTTAAAATAACTAATTTGTGTGTATATTTTTCAGACTGCTGTACATGTTTGTTTTGTTCATATGATTAACATTAGTTTCACGTTAAGTGTGTTTATTTATTTGTGGAAATTATTGACCTTTCAATCATAACCATCAGCCTTACTTTACAAGGTCGTTTTTTTCGGCTAAAAACATCTTACTATACATGGTCGTTTTTTTTTTTGTCAAAAAAACGCCTGACTATTCATGGTTGTTTTTCTCGGCTAAAAACGCCTTACTATACATTGTCTTTTTTTGGGGTTAAAAACGCCTTATTTTACATGGTAATTTTTTTTGGCTAAAAATGCCTTCCTATACATGGTCGTTTTTTCGGCCAAAAACGCCTCACTATACATGGTCGTTTTTTTTCAGCCAAAAATGCCTTACTAAACATGGTCGTTTTTTTCGGCCAAAAACGCCTTACTATACATGGTCGTTTTTTTTTTCGGCTAAAAACGCCTTACTATACGTCTCAAAACGCTTTCCTGTACATGGTCGTTTTTTGGGGCTAGAAACGCCTTACTACACATGGTCGTTTTTTTCAGCCAAAAACGCCTTACTATACATGGTTGTTTTTTTCGTCTCAAAACGCTTTCCTGTACATGGTCGTTTTTTGGGGCTAGAAACGCCTTACTACACATTGTCGTTTTTTTCAGCCAAAAACGCCTTACTATACATGGTTGTTTTTTTCGTCTCAAAACGCTTTCCTGTACATGGTCGTTTTTTGGGGCTAGAAACGCCTTACTACACATTGTCGTTTTTTTCAGCCAAAAACGCCTTACTATACATGGTCGGTTTTTTGGGCTAAAAATGCCTTACTGTACATGGTCGTTTTTTTCGGCTAAAAACATCTTACTATACATGGTCGTTTTTTTTTTTTTGTCAAAAAAACGCCTGACTATTCATGGTTGTTTTTCTCGGCTTAAAACGCCTTACTATGCATTGTCATTTTTTTGGGTTAAAAACGCCTTATTTTACATGATCGTTTTTTTCGGCTAAAAATGCCTTCCTATACATGGTTGTTTTTTTCGGCTAAAAATGCCTTACTAAACATGGTCGTTTTTTTTTCAGCCAAAAACGCCTTACTATACATGGCCGTTTTTTCGGCCAAAAACGCCTTATTTTACATGGTCGTTTTTTTCGGCCAAAAACGCCTTACTACACATGGCCGTTTTTTTCTGCCAAAAATGCCTTACTTTACCTCGTCGTTTTTTTGGGCTAAAAAATGCCCTACTCTACATGGTCG